GTGCACACCACGTATGGGACCCCACTTTCCTGGCTCTTTTCAGAGGAAAATGTAGTTTCTTGGGGATCCTGACTCGGCGGATGCAGGCTGAAATGTGGGTCCCTGGTTCTTTCTGAGCCAGGTGTGATTTCTTTCTCCCAGGATCCCTTAGACTCAGCAGTCGGTGCCATCTGGCCTGATTATCTGTTTCATCACCGATTTGCCATCGATTTCCCGTATTTCCGATCAGTTACCATGGATATTGCTTTTGTTATCTCGGTTCTAGTCGCTAGAAGCTGTGCTTTTGTGGGTTTTACTCACCGTAAGAAACTAATCTGGGCAGAGCTCGCAGGATAAACCTTGCTTGTTTGTTTTAAATTCTTTTCCTGGAGGTAGCAGGATTACCGATCCAGGGGAGGCAGTGGGAGGGGAACTGAAATAAATTTGCCATATGCTTGCTTATTACCCAGCATTTGCATCTCATTTTCACACAGAGCATGCGTTTCCAGTGCGGCTTAAGCTGCGGAGATACCTGGCCATGAGGCTGCCGGAGTCGGGGAAGCCCTCAGTCACCGCCTCCCCTCTCCGCAGCAGGATGGCGATGGGTCTCCTGCTTGCCTGGCTTCTCTCTTGCAGCTGTAGGTTCTGGTTCGTGTTTGCTGCCCCCAGATCCTTGCAGGGGGCTCAGGGTGCAGGGAGGTCTTGACAGGCGTTGAATGAACAAGTAGCATCTCTTTTGTGCATCTCTTCTCTTACCTCAGTGGAAAAGTGTGATGGAATCTGTGATTCTTGCTTTAAGCCAGGGCCAAGGAATGCAGGCTTGGAATAAACAGGGACCTATGCAGGCTACTGGAGCCCAGAAAAAGCTGTAGTCCCAGCGAGGGGGCCGTTCTGGACCCTAGGAAGAGGAGTTTTGGGTTACACTCTGCTGCTGCATTGTGACACAAGCCACCGAGGCTGCTGGTGTCCTCAGGCTTGCTGGTCCCTCTCTCCCGCCTCCTGCTTCTCATGTGTGAGCCAGCACCTGGTCTTCACACCTGTGGTGAGACAGCTTGGTCCAGGTGTAAGGACCAGGCTCAAGGTGCCCAGACGGAAGACAGGGAGGCAGGCGGAACCAGGACCACAGGGCCCAGCCCACCGGGGACTTACTGACCCAGCAGGGTCCTGGGCGGCAGCGAGGCCAGCTGGATACTTGTAGTTTGGGTTAGAAAGAGGGACGTGTTTATGGGTTAAGACAAGAGAGATTTGTCTTGTAAGGGACCCGGAATCTCAAGGTAATGTAGGCGAGTGGGCACATCACTGGGATAAGGTCTGATTTGCAAGTGACTCTAAGGGTGGTTTTATCCCCTTGTGCTTTGCTGGGAAACTACACAGGAAGAACCAGTGAGGTTGCCCAGGGCCAGGCACGGAGGTTCCAACTCAAGACTGCGGCCGTTATGCCAAGCTGTCTCCCAGCAACGCTATAAACTCCGCTGGCCTGCATGGCTTTGGTTCTACAAAGCTTGCCGTGGCCTCTCCGGCTTCTTTCTTTTTTTTTTTAATTTTAAAAATTTATTTTAAGGAGAATAAAGCCAAACCAAACAAAACAGAATAAAGCTAATCAGAACAGAACAATGAAAGTGACACAGGACTTCAAAACCAGATAGTAGGAAATCAACAATGGCTACTATCATCCATCCCATTATCTTCAAGATAGCTGCCCAAATCATCAGACACCGTAAAATCAAATGAACAAAACAGTAAAACCAAACCTAACAAAACTATGAAAACCATGCAGAAATTCAAAACAAGATAATAGGAACTTAGCAATGGTCACCACCTTCCCTTTTTATCCATTTCCACCCGCATCACTTTCATAGTATTTACTGTACATTTCTTTTTGTCTCTTTGAGACAGGGTCTTGCTATGTGGTTCAGGCTGGCCGTAGGCTCACCTTGTAGCCCAGGCTGGTCTTGAACTTGCAGTGATCATCCTGCTTCAGCCTCGTGAGCGCTGGGATTACACAGGTGCACTGCCATGCTTGGATTATTGTACATTTTGGATCCCACCAACCCCTTCAGTTTTTCACACTAAGGAGACAACACGATGTTCACCTATGTGAGTCCAACTGTTTCACCAAGAGCACGATCTCAACTTGCATCCATTTACCTACAAGAGCCTCGTGATTATCCTTCTAATAACTGAGCAGTTTCCCGTTGTATAAAAAAGCCGTATCTTTCTCATCCATTCTGGATTGAAGGACAAGCTACTGCCTTTTCCTGGTTCTCTGATGCGTGGAACGTGGTTTTCTCTCCTTTGACTTTAGGTCTATGAATTTCCTTTCACGTTAATGCGCCTCTTGTCTGCCGCATATTTGATGGGTCTTGTTTCTGGACCCCTCTGCTGTGCTTCTTTTTATTGGTGAACCGAGGCCATCTACAGGAAGCGTTATGGCCAGCGTGCCCTGGCTCGTCTCTGCCACACTTTCTTCCTGCCGTGGGCTCCCTACTTCTCCTCCCCATCAATCGTCTGTCCCTCTCAATGTCTCACTCTGCTGCTGGTCCTGAGACCATGGTCGTCTTTATCTCTCTCTAGACTATCCTTCAGTACTCGGTGTAGGGTTGGTTTGGTGGTCACGATTTCCTTCAGCTGTTCTTTGTCCTGGAAGCACCCTACTTCTCTACTGATTTTGAAAGATAATTTTCAGGCTACATCAATCTGGGTTGAAAGTTGTTTTGCTGGGTTGAAATACTTTCCTCCAGCTTTTCTGGACTTGACGGTTTGTGTTGAGAAGTCTGTCATGATTCTGCTGAGTTTTCCTTTATAACTGATCTGTTCTTTGCTCAACAGCCTTTAATTTATTCTTTAATTCTGTTTTTGTGCTGAATTTCTGGGATCTTGATTGTCGTGTGTCTGGGTGTAGCCTGATCTTGGTATGGCTAGCGGAGGTCTATATGCCTCGCTAAGCTGTCCGTCAGGTCCTGTTCCCATGCTTGGGAAGTTCTCCACTGTTACTTCTGTAAATAGTGTCTTTTGTCATTTGTGTTGACTCTCGCTTTTTTGCTGACACCTATCATTCTTAAATTATTTTCTTTGTGTTGTTTTGCAGCTGCTGAATTATTTCCTGGTTCTTTGTTATTTTTAAGAGCTTTTTCCTGCCGCAATTGCTAGCTGCCAACCTGTCTTCAAGGTCTGAAAGTCTGTCTTCAGTTTCTTTCAAGCGGTTTTGCCTGCTTTCAGTGGAGTTTTTAATTTCTTGGATGTCTGTTTGAGCCTGTTTGATGCATCCCAGTTTTTCTCTATATTGTTCATTCAAAGTTCCGTCTTTTTCGTATGCTCCTCTTTTTAAAAAATCTATGTCTTCCTTAGTCTGTAACCCTTTAATTATATCATTTCTTCTTTTACCTGAGATGTTATTTCTGATCTGATTTCTGTTAGAGCCTCATGCAGTAGTTTCTTTTCTTCAGTTGCCGTCTTCCTGGAAATTTCAGGTGTGTGAATTCCACTTTCTTTCCTATCCTTGTCTCCTGGACTTGTTCTGTGTGGCTGGAGGCTGGAGATTGCTTTTTGCTCCTTTGTCTTGACATTTTTCTGGGTTCCTCCAGACGAGTGGGTTGTGGGGTCCCAGGCCTTCCCAGGCTGGCAGCCCTCTTCCGTGTGGGGGAATGGGCCAGGCACGGTTTCTGCAAACCCAGGTTCCTGGGAGGCAGTGGGGCTCTCCAGATCCACGTGGCTACACAGAGGCTTCTCACATGGCCACGGTGCTTGGTGGTGCGGCTGCTTATTCTCTTACCCTGTGTGGCTACATGGGGACTCCCCCGATGGCAGTGGTCACACAGGGGTGAGTCTGGCTCTTTCTCCCCTTCTTTCTATCTCATAGTCTTTTCCTTTTTATTTGCTTATTTACTTATTTTGTGGTACTGGGGGGATGAACCCCCGGCCTTTGCTGTGAATTACATCGCCACTCTTTTTTTAAGTTTTGAAACAGGTCCTTGTCAGTTGTTAAGCTGCTCAAACTGAGCTGAACGTGGGATCCAGGGCAGCGTACGGCACACCATGGATTGGCTGTGCCCGGTCAAGGCTCCACAGTCAAGTCAGATGTGCTAAGAGCCAATGCCATGCTCTAAAAACTGCCTGCTGGGCAGGTGTTGCCATAGGCTGAGGCAGGGCCTGGGTGGTCCTTCAGAGTCGTCCTCACAGTGGTCACCATGGTGTGGCAGCAGTGTGGGTCGGGGGCTCTGGGCCAGCTGATGGGTGAGGTCATGGACACCAGTCCAGGGTGTTCCATCCCTTGCCCTGAGTGTGCTTGGTTGGCACACAGCATCCCGATGGCAGGGGTGGGGGCGGAGAAGCTTTATCCATCAGCTCAGTATTTCTCCCGGGCCCCGCTGGAGCGGGAAGGCCACTGCTCTTAGGGGAGGCCACGGGACAGGAGTGTCCTTTCCTGACATTGCAGATGGCAAAGCCAGAGCTGCCCAGGGCTGTCCTTGCTTCTACCCCTGGATGCCAGTACGCTCCCAAGAAGGCAGAACCAGAGCACACGGGGGCAAGGAGCTGGCAGTAACGGGTGGGCTCCGTGCCTGTAGTCGGTGCTTTCTCTCTGCCCCTCCCGGCTGTGATCTGACAGTGTTCCCGTTTGTCCTGGGCTTTTGTCATTGGCAGTGGGCATCATGGTGGCAGGGACTGCTGCAGGGAGGGCGAGCTGTAGCCGTGTGGGCCACGTGTGGAGTGTGGATTGATTTCCTCCTGTGAGCTTGGGCCGGGCCAGCTTCACAGTGGGCTGGGCAGACACCCAGGGGCCTGAATTCAGCTTTGTCTCTGCAGTCACTGTCTTCAAATCCTAGTAGTGTTTTCCTTCCTTCCTTTTTATTTTTGTTTTTTTTAAGGCAGGGCTCACATTTTGCTGTTACTCTAGGCCTCACTGGTTCTGTAGACAGCTCTGGGCGGGAATAAACTGCAAAGCCAGGGGACTGTGTAGACGGCAGGGCACAGCACAAGGCATTATGTGTTACTGCTCATAAGCCTCTTGTCCTTCGACCCAGGGACATCTCCTGCCTACCGTCTACAGGGCCTGGCTGCCTGGCTGCCTCCCGCTCACACCATCCGACAGTGGCGCCTGACCACCAGCCTCCCACCTGGATGGGAGGTGAGTTCGGACTCTGCTCTCTGCGTTCGGGAGGCCGAGGTAGGGCATTCATTCCTGTGGGGGCTTCTTTCCATTTCTGTGCATCTGGGAGGCACAAGACTAAAGTTAAGGCTTAACTGTTCGATTAACAGCAGCTAAACCAACATGCAAAGCATCGCGGGTGTGCACACAACGGACACATGTACATGTGCACACAGCTCCGGCCTCTGTGTGCTGGCTCTAAGGACCTGCCGTTCCACCTGGAGTCTTCCTGTTTCTTGGGGACCTGTTTTAGGCCTGCGGGCCCAGGGGCCCGACCTGGACCCGTGTTGCACACCTGGGGGCTGTGGCTCGTGGGTCCCAGGTGGAGACAATGGCTGTCTAATTCCACGCGTCCTTTCTTCCTGTTAATTCTGTCGCCGAGTGAGTATTACTTTGGAGATAATTAATATGCCCCATTTTAGTGCAGAAATATACCTTGTCCCAGGTCACATGACAAATGTAACCATAAAAAGTTTAAAATGCTATTATTTAAAATTTATTTTCTCATAAAAAATGGTTCCTGAAATGATCATAATTTGAATAACTTTCTCTATAGTTATAATACATTATGCTCTGGCTCCGGGCCAGGCTCTGGAATCTGGAAGCCCAGTGAGATCTGAGCCTGAGGCCTGCATAGCGGACCTGGACAGCACGTCCTTCACAGAGGGCTCCATGCCCAGCCTGCTCCATTTGCAGGACCTGAATCTCCAGCTGCGATCAGCCCATCCTACCGTGCAGGTTTAGAAATTCTTGTTTGATTTGATTTGATTTTTTTGTGTTTTGTTTTCTTTGAGACAGGCTTTTGCTCTGTAGTCAGCCTTGAACTCACTATGTAGCCCAAGTTGGCCTTGAACTCGTGGTGATCCTGCTGCCTCAGACTCCTTGGGATTACAGGCCACCATGCCCAGCTTCTGACTCTTTTAAAAGTGGGCTTTATTATTCAGCTAAAGGAAAGTGTGTGGTGCTGGTTGGAATCCTTAGGATGAATGTCCCCATTGTGCTTCAGAGGGGACCGTTAACCTTCTCTGGAGATACCCACCACTCCTGAGGGTGTCTGTTCTGAGAGTTGTCTAAAGTGCCCAGGTACAGAAGTCCATGGTTGCTACTTAGTGATGGGCAATGGATGGTCTGAATAGCCGTCACAGCTCCTGGGGTGGGGTGACAGTGCAGGTGGCCACCTGGTAGAGCTGTGGCTCAGCCAGTGACAGCAGTAAGCTTGCAGGTCCCTGCCAGGTGTGCATCACCACGCCAGGTGGAAATGGCTCTTCCTGGGGCCAGTAGAGCTGTGTACCCATTGGCAGCTCTGGAGGGGAATCCATTTCTTTCCCTTCCCAGCTCTGAAAGGTCACCTGCATCCCTTGGCTCGTGGTCCCTTCCTTACCCTCAAAGCCAGCAACACTGTATCTTGGAGTCCTTTCCTACCTCTCTCTGCAAGGATACTCCTTCCCCAGGGGACCATGCGTGCCTAGTTTCCCCAAACCCAACAATCACGAGCAATCAAATGAGTAAAATTCTTCCACACCTGTGGACCCAGAGTCACGTGGCGTCAGCTTCAATGCTGACTGGCAGGTTAAGGTCAGGGTTCAGAAAACCTCCTCCTCCTCCCTCTTCCTCCTTTTCCTCCTCCTCTTTCTCCTTCTCTTCACTCTTTTTCTTCCTCCTCCTCCTCGTCTTCTTTTGTCTTTTTGAGACAGGATCTTCCTATGCAGTTCACATAACTCACTTTGAAACCGAGGTTGGACTCAAACTTGCAGTGACCCTCCTGCCTCAACCCCCAAAAGAAAACGTTCTTCTCTTTCCAAACCAAGGATTCCCCAGCGTGGGTCACCACTGCCAGCCCCTGACCCCATCTCTATCTGTTCTCTATGCCTAGTAAGGTTTTGCTTCACCAGAGGGTGAGGCCCCTGGGTCAGGTCCAGGGGGCAGATGGGGTCCCCGGCTCACCCACAGCACGCGCTGAGACGCGATCACTGCTGACTCATAGGAGTCTGCGAGGCTCGGCCTGGAGGCCCCCACATGCCAGGGCCACCTTCTTACCAGGCCAACTTCTCTTGTTCCTTCGGGGTCCCGGGCACGGATCCTCGCAGCCACGCAGGGGCAGTCGGCAGAAGTCATGCTGCTTTTCCTGCCTGATCCCTCCCAGCCAGCTGCGGCAGGGGCTCTGCCCCGGCTGGGCCGGCGGTGGGTGGAGATGGCGTCTCTGGCTGCACCGAGGGGACCCGGCCAGTGCGGTGGCTGCCGCCTCTCTCCTAGGCCCGCGGTTGTCCTGGGCAGCAGGCGAGGCTGGCTCGTCATGACCTTGGTGTGCAGGAGGAATGGAGCCCTTGCCCCCTGGAAGCCTCCAGCGTGGTGGCCTGGCACCTTCTGCGCCCTGGGGAATTTTGGCAGAGTGACCCACAAGTATTTTTAGTTCCTTCTTCCTTAATGTTTGCCAGAAAACCACAGTCATTACTCATGAGCAGGGGCAGTTTCCTCCCTCCGGGCTCCAGAAGAGTCCGGCTCGCCCTCGGGGGCCCACGATGGTGGCCCGGCCTCCAGCTGTCTCCGAGTCAGCAAATTCTAACAGTGCAAGGGAGCACTGTTTTCTTTTTAATCAATACAAAGTCAGATTAAAATATACGGTGTGCAGCCTATAATCCCAGCACTCGGGAGGCTGAGGCAGGAGGATCCTTGTGAGTTCAAGACCAGCCTGGACCATAAAGTGAGCTCAAGGCCAGCCTGAACTACATAGAGAGACCCTGTCTCAAGAAGACAAAAATAAAAATAAAATCAAATCAATGGCGTGTGTTTAAACAAGAAAGTTATTACTGTAACCAGTATGTTGCTGTTAATCCCCTCAAGGCACAGCCCCGGCTTTCTCTTTCTCTTTCTCTTTTTTCTTCCTTCCTTTCTTCCTTTCCCTTTCTTTTTCTCTCTCTTTCTCTCCCCCTCACTTTCACTCTCATGTTTTCTTTCTTTCTGACAGTGTCTCACCAGGGCACTAAGCTGCTTAGGCGTGGCTTGAATTTCAGATCCTCCCGTCTCAGCCTCCCAGGTCCTGTGTGCCACCACGCCCGGCCTCATTCCCGCCTCTTCCTGAGCAGCCCTGGGAGTCGTCCTCCGTGCGTGTCTTTGGTTACACTGTGTGGCTGCCTTGATGTCCTGATGGGTTCAGGGTGTTCCCGGCACCTCATTCCCTGGGCCTGGCACCGTGTGAGCTCTGGCTGTCCCCAGAGGCAAAGCGATCACAAGAGGGAAACACACAAATTGATTCAGGACGTGTCAAGGCAGCTATGGCAGCACAATTAAGGACACTCACGAAAGAGGATTTCTGAACTGCTTCAGAAAGGGGCCAGGATGCTGGGGTACGTGTGTTTGAAGCAGGGGGTGTCCGTGGGGGTGGTGGGTGGGATTTTAAGAGGGATTCACGGCAATGTGCATTTTGTTTTGTCTTTTTGAGACAGGGTTTCACTATGCAGTTCAGGCTGGCCTTGAACCCACAGAGATTCTCCTGCCTCAGCCTCACAAGTGCCGGGACGACAGGTGTGTGCCACCATTCCTGGTGACAATGTGTTTTTTACTGGAATAAATTTAAGAAACATTCACGGCATTTTTTATCACACCTCGTAGATCTTAAGCTTTTTCCTTTAATTAATCCTTTTTTTTTTTTTTTTTTCTTTTGTTTTTGGTACTGAGAATTGAACTCAGGCTTGTGCCTGCCAGGCAGGTGCTTGTGCCCCTGAGCTATGTCCCCGGCCCTCAGTTGTCATTTTAGATCATGGTAAAATGCCTGCCCTCCGTTCATGCCTGAGCCTCTCTTCAGTGTGCAGTTCAGTGGCCTGAAGCACATCCACGTTACCCTGCCAACCGTCACCGCCCTCCGCTCCAGGACTCTTCCTGTTACAAACAGTCCGAGTCCCTGTGCCCCCCCAAAGTCTCGGAGCCTCGCTCTGCTCCTGTGTTTTGTTTCCTGGTCTCTGTTCTCCTGGCGGCACTGGTGGTTGGACCCGGGGTCTGGCCGCAAACTCAGAGTCCCCCAGCCCGCCCTTCACACCCCCTGCCTATTTCTATGACTCTGGCGACTCTCGGGGGCTCCTGGGATGGGAATCACCTGGCATCCGCAAGTCTGCCAGCCGCAGCCGTGGTGGAGGACCCGAGCTTTGAGCCCCCTTTGATCCCTTGTCTAGTCCACGGGAGCAGTGCTCAATTAAAACACAAGTGTGATTTTCCTCTCGGGCACTTGGGTCTGATAAGCAGGGAGCTCTGTGACGCTAACGCAGGACCTGGTGACCAGGAGTGTGCCAAACCCTGGCCGTCCGCCCCTCCCACAGATCTGGGGACACCGTTCCCTCTGCCCAGCGGGGAGCTGCTGCCCCCTCAGCGCCTCCGGCCAGGTCCCTTGTGTGGACCTCGGTTTATCAGCCGTGCTTCCCACCGCAAGCCCAGGCTCCCTCGGAAAACACTCTCTCTCCTAATAGCCTGAAGGATCTAGTTCAGTAGACACAGGGTTTTTTGTGAAGCACTTTCCAAATGAGGCGCACACTGTGGGATTAATTAAGCCCTTTTCTAGCTGCCTGCCAGCGTAACCTTTCTTTTATGCTTCTTAGGGGGGTACACGGGTAAAAAGTCAGATCCATTATGTTCATGACTCAGAGGGAGCGATCTGGGGCGAAATTACCTGACGCACTGTTTTTCCTTTCCTTTTTTTTTTTTTTAATTTGCAACTAGTGGGTCAAATAAAGAGCTGTCTGAGCCTGTGTCACAGGCAAGAGATTCAGCCCAGGGGAGGAGCGATTTGGGATCAAAGCGCAGAAGCCAAAGGGAAGTGACACGGACAGACAGATGGATGACAGAGTGCCAGGCTCTTGGCACCCTGTCAGGGGCTGGGGACCCTAAGGAGTAGCTGCAGGGTGAGCGCCCACTGACTGTTTCAGCCTTAGTCCGAGTTCTGGCTCCGGTCCCACTGTGTTTTTGAGCGCGTGACGTTTAATTAATTTTACGATGAGGTCTTTTCACTGGTTCATTTTTGACAGTGTCGC